TCAAATGTATGGACACTATAGTCCATGTTAATCATTGGCTGCATGTTAAGCTGTTTATTTTAGACCCGAGTTTTAATAATGGAACAAGATGTGTGGTTGCATAAGAAGTCCACGGAAGTGAAACGCTCGTTCATATTCTACTATTTAACACGCATATCAAGGTATGCCTTTGAACACTTACTATTTATGGCATCAAAAGTGCATAATCAGGCTACTTCTCCCGACAGCCTTACAAAGAATACCGCGAGGCACATCACCAATAGTACTGAACACTGAATGAACATAATCCGAATCACAAGCAGAGTTCTTATATGAATATGTTTATGTATGTGAGTGCTTGGTGCCCACAACCTACCACGCCGGCGTATATACTGGACCGAAACAGAGGTCCGTTTGTCTCTCGACATACCTTATATAGGGATGCACCGAGTACTTCCGAGGTCTGAACTTATGCCCAACATGACTTAGGCGCCTGTCGTCATGCGACGTCAATCGGTGTACCCAATCCCATTACTATTTTATCCACATAGCCGGACAGTCGATTGTTGCATGAGTGAGAGTAAGACGGAGTAGGACCGCCTCTGCCACACGTCACACCAGTGCATACCACACTATAACATATATCCGACCAGTTTAAATTTCTCAGGGTGTGATACGATTCGTGGCTTGGAAAGTAGTCAGTTTTCGGCGTAATTCGATCGTCCCCATGATTGGCAGTCAGGCTGCAATGGTTTCTTCTTAATGTGACTTTCATGACGCTGTAAATTAAGTGAGATCTGAGCCGTACTCATTAAATCCTAGTACCTACATTGGGGACCAGGGCGAATGTGAGCCGCGTACACAGTCTGTTCGACCATGTTAGCTACTGCGATCGGGTTTACCTGCGACTACATGGACATTATCTATTCAACGACGTATGATGGATAACAGAGAGACGTGTGGTTAATACTGTGAGGTCCGTCCCACTGTAAAATGATTCACTTGCCACCGGTGTCGCGCAGAATTCCTTGGGCACGCCGGGGACGTTGAACTTCGTGATGCTCGAACTGTCATCCCTTGTCTTATGTTTGGGTGTTTGGAACGCCTAGGCGGACAGAGTGTCAGGCCAAATCCCGTACTTTAGGAGAGGACAGCATCTACCAGATTGCTGGGAATAAGTGTAGTCTGTGAGCTACAATTATCAAGTCATAAGGAGAAGACAAAAGGCAGCCGAATGGGCGTTTATTGTGCACAGAACCCAGAGTTGTCCTCTCAGGCAGCAGTGTCTGCCAGGATAGTGCTGACTGGGTCCAGTCATTCCTGAGAGTCTGTGAGAGGGTGTTGGCAGCTTCTTTATTTGAGCAATCTGAAGGGATGTCCAATCGGTTTGCGTTGCAATTACCGAGAGGTGGTGTGCCTAGTGGCTTAGGTCGCATTCGCTGAGGGATGGTGCGTTCCAATGGACAGCTGCGTCTGGTGAACGCAAGTGTGTCCGAACTGAAGACGTACGAGTGGCTTCGGGTCAGCACGTCTGGAGCGGCCCGCTGCCAGGGGCAGGTGACCTTCAAGCGGCGGGGCCTTGGACAAGGATACTGGGCATAGCCATGATGGCTGTCAGCAACATATTTTCAGTTTAATACTTGGAACTACCATTTTTACATGAATGCAATACACTTGCTTTTTTGACTTGGATGTATGCGATTTATATTTCTTATTTAGAGTACAGCAGCTTAAATTGTCGTTTGTGCCTTTGAACTTGGTGTACGAATTGCAGTGAAGGAATGCGATTTCGCCCCCCATATCGTTTGAAGGCGTTTATTTCGTTGGACTAATTGCTTTTGGACGGTGATCAGTTAAGGACTTGTCAAAATTAATTCCCGATTACTGCGTGCAATGGACATTCAGTCTACCTTATTGTATGCATATATGGATGGCCCTTCACTTAAATTAACTTCTTTGGTAATATTTAACGTACATAACATTTTAGAATGTGAGCTCCTATGGAAATCTCACAACGGCCAGGGGAAATGACAGTATTATCTCCATGATGGGGCAGACTGGTAAGTGAATACTTTTGTGTTGACAGGGAAATCATAAAATTCACAACATTGGGTTGGGTAAAACATAATGTTTAAAATATTATTTTTCCTCTAGACACTGCTTTAACTCATATGTCTGTGCTTTTAGGTGTGTTAAAGCGAGATCTTGTGCTTTTTAAGGGGCCTTTCTGGACCAAGCCACGACAAGTGAATATACATTTCACAAACGGAGGACTTACTCTCATTACGATAAGACCCTCAAAGGAACTTGGGGCAACCGCGTCAATGCTAACATTCCTCGACTTCGCGAACGCCTTTAAGTTGCCGTGATGTGAATCTGTTTGGTGGCAAAACAAGCGTGTGTGTGCTTTTGGCTAGTACCTGTGCTGTTAGTATGGTATCACCTTAACCTATGGTATATTACTAGCTGCCTGTCGGCAATTAGTGAATATTGCGTGGTTACCCGCCGTGGTTGATGAACTTTGGTCCAAATATTCATACATAAAATTCTCGGGCTGAGCCTATAGACCTTGAATAAACTGATCTACTCCAACTTCGTAGATAATTTCTGAAGAAATTAAAAAGCGACAATTTCTAGATTGAAGTATCTACCAGGAAACACACAGGCAATGCTGGGGGACACACTGACGGGCCGAACCCCTTGCAGCTGTGCAATGCAGCGGCAGAATATCGGCGAAACACGCGTGTATCTGCTTTTTGCTAGTACCTGTGCTGTTGGTATGGTATCATCTTAACCTAAACTTCGTATACTGCCCAGACAAGGTGTCCTTTCGACAGACGCTTCCTCGGATGCTGCTGTCGGTTCTTCTGCCTAGAAGGACGTCTAGGATAGACAGGGAGCCCGCCCTTTTCAGCTTCAACTTAAGTCTGATCAACGAATGTGCTTGACTTACAGCATCCAAGAGGGTGGTTATGTTGGTTTCTCTGGTGGCAATTGCAAAGATGTTGTCAACGTGGCGACCGTAGTGCCTTAACTTTTTGATTCGGTCGTTTAACTGAAACTTCTCTAACTCGCCTATGAAGACATCGGCTAGGATAGGACCATGAGACGATCCCATAGCAACTCCGTCTTTTTGTCTACGCATTTGGTTGTCACAAAGGAACTGCACATTTTGTGTGCATTTTGGTAATAGCTCCTTGAGGAATATCACTGTTTATTCCCTAGTAATGAAGGTGGCAGGAAATAGTCCGCTAAAAACTACCGGAAAAATACGTCATAGGTATGCTTACCATAGACTGTGGGCTCAATGCACGCTCGAAAAAAGTTAACAAACAACTGTCACGCCTCCATGCCATCTGGCAGGCTGTCAGAGTGGTACTGCTCACTCAACCAGCCTGAAATGTCCACTGCCTTTTAGACAACTCGACGGCAAACCGCCCGGAAAGGAGGATGGCCCTGGTCGGCAGCAAACTGGCACGCTGTAAATTGGACATTGAGATTCTCAGCGAGACCCACTTCTCTTAACAGGGTCAACTGGGAGGTGCTGGAGAGGACGCCCTGAGACAGAGCCATGCGCAGCAGTTCTGCGCTTTACAGACTCCATTTGGGCCAATTGCCGCAAGTACGCTTAGGAGGTTTAGTAATCAAATACTAAGCGCATTCCGCATTTAAACCACTTTGCGTAGATCATATGATTTAGTGCATGTACATGAGTGGCCTTTTGGTAAATGTCAATGTTTTTTGCTGGAAATACAGCCAATATCCGGAATCCTGTGCGTTTAGTGTATGGATAGTCCGTCACCACTTCGTGTTAACAGAACGGTCACCTACTCAATCTACCCAAACGATTTGAGTAGCAAGAAATTATTGTTGTTCGCGGCTGAATGCTACTAACCGTCACTTACTTTCATTAAATGCAAACAACCTGATTTAAGTGCTAAGACTGTGTTTGCGTGACACAGTTTACGTTACTTGCGGAAAATGCTACATTGGCAGGCCTCAGGTGTTGAGCGCCGTCAGTCTAGCGCCTGTGATGATCAACGTGATTACATTTCGAGGAGTTGGATATTGAATGCTTGCAGGTAAGTCGGATAAAATCCACGAAAAGGTAATTTTGGGCATTTTTTCCGAATTCGACTCTGTGGTGAAGTGTCTGTAGAGGAAAGAGAAGAAGGCCTGTCGGCCATCGGAGTTGTTTCGCGTTATCTGCATCTTCGCAAGTTTTGCATATGTGGAGGAATACGGTTATTTGTTTTTGCAGAATAATTAATTCACTTAAAAAAGGATAAAAGTCGACTTTAATGCGCAAGAATATAAGATTCATATGACATTTGACTCGGCAAGGCGTATATAATGCATTATTATATTACTTATTATTATACAATGGATTCATGCTCATTGTGTCAGTCTGAGGTCCGAGTGCATAAAACAACGAAAGATTACTGATGTTTTGGACGACGGTCAACTGAATAAATCGGTGAATGGAAAACAAACACTTCATCTGACATCTTCAACACGCACATCTCTCCAATCTACCCCTAGAAAGCAGGCGTGTGAGTTCTTACCAGAATATTCTCTTCAGTCATGCATAAGGTCACTTGCCTATACAGAGTTGGCAAAAAGCGCAGTCAATTGCAATATCAGGACAGGCAATAGCGTCAAAAGCCACTTGCCCCTAGTTTTCGGTAGTTGCATTTCTTTAGATAACGCTGTGGGGTTTACGTTTAGCCCAAAGATACAGGTGCTGTCGACAAAGAGGACAACAGTGACAGTTGACAAATTAATTCGTCGACCTGGGTGAACCTCACTCAGGACTGACTTGCCTAGTGAAGACCAGTAAAGACTGTAGTCGACCGGATGATAGCCACCATAGCTGCGGACTGTTCATCTCCACACCCCATCACTTCCAATGTGTCCACGCTTTCAACGAACATTCCGCGCGGATCGGTCTCGTTGGACATCTGCGGACTCGATACAATGACGAGGCAACAAATCCACCTCCTACCTCCATATGAACTTTCATGGCCATCCCACTCGCGGCCACCACGACGCCCATAACTGCCACCTCCATCACCGGTGCGTACCCTCTCGCTGTCCCCCCGCCGTAGGTGTGCCCACCAACCCCATCACCACTCCCACAATTCTCCAGGCGGTCACAACAACCCCTCTCACTCTCGCCACCAGTGATTACACTCCCGACGATCCCTTAACCACCACCCACACCCCCACCGTCCACACCACTGGCAATGTGGATTCCACCCTAGTATGCCCTCAATGCGCTCACACCCTCATATCACGCATCGGCCTGGGTGGTCTCATGAGGATCCGTTGCACTAAGACCGGCGAATAAGTGCATGAGGTCCCGTTGCATTCGCTGCACTGCCCGCGCACACTGACTTGCCGCATGGGCATACTCGGCTACTTGCATGTCCACGAGGGCGGAAATTACCACAATAGCCACATTTCAGACCCGTCTTAGACATACGACAACCCACCCGAACCCAATACTGCCAGCTTCCCCTACATCGGCGTTGTCGCCACCAGCAGCATCACCAACGCAGACAACACAAATGAAACATGTCCTGTCATCACTGCCACGGCACATTTACACCACACATCAACCAGGTCGCTTGATTGCGAACTCGTCGCGCAGAGGCTGACGAACCAGTGCCTGAAGCCTCAACATGCAGCAAGTGCACACGACCCATCTGTCCACACTGCTCATAGGCACTCGGCCACCGCATGCGCCTGCTCAGTCACATGTCTCTACATGAACTCTTGCGATAAACCAACTCGGAGTAAATCAAATTACCACAAATTCCCCTATCAACACACGCACCACACACGAACTCGATCGATACCACACAACACAGATAGGGACTAGGCAACTCTCACGCAGGTGAGAGGTGTGTTCTTCAGCTCCTCCTCCTCCTCCTGGTCCTCTGTTACTCTGCCACACTCTAGGCATCCCATCCCCAGGGCGCAAAATTCTCGTATATGTGACGCACGCAAACCGGCTGTTTTAGCTATTTCAGCCACTGCGCCCAATCTCAGCATCGATTGGTTGACAAACTCGCCTGGGAGAGGAAAATGGTGCGTGAGGTCGACTTTCGGCGCATACCTCTCAATATGAATAATTTGACGCTCTCGGATCTGTTATTGTGCCTTGAAGGACTGCCAACTGACGGGATAACTCGGTCCCTCTCCTCCGGGACAGGGAGTCAGGCCACAATGGCTCCTTCTGGCTGTGACCTCCGTGGCATTACCATTCGGTTAGGATCGAATCGTCCTCCTCTCCCCTTTGTTTTGTAAAAGCCCAGCTCATCATGCTCGGACCAGACGTGTGTGGAATGCGAAGACGGGCTGTTTATCTGCAACCGCCTCTGAAGATGCATCAGAGTGAGAATCCGAAACGTCAGGCCAATAAACTCCTTGTTCCAGTGATTGCATCTTCCTCTTCTCCTAAACGGGCTGTCTTGTTTCGACAGCCGCTGCGCATGAACGGACAGCCAGGCTGCAATGGCACCTTCTTAATGTGGCCCTAATGGTATCCTCAACCAGCTGGGATCCCTTTCTCGTTACGTGAAGTCCTGGTCGTTTTTGCATGAACCAGGGGGTATGATGGCACGCTGAGGTGAGGGTTCGTACCGTAACAGCCACCTGCGGCCTATCCCACTTCCGGTCCTCTTGACCCTGTCTTGTCACCAGACCCAGGTGGATGAGGAGAGGAGTGCGAGAGAGATGCAGTGCAAGTCACAATCCCTGCGCCTGCCTTGCTAGGGGGAACACATCTGTCCTCGTCGGAAACGACAGTCGAACTGTCCCTACTAACTCTCCCCTTTAATTTTTTCTGCCCAGACAAGCCGTCTAGACTGCTCGCAATAATGCATCACCCCTCCGCAATCTTCTTTTTGTCAGTTTAGCCACGACTCCAGCATTTGCTTAGCCTGGGCACGAACTCTGACTGATTACACATCATTGTTCACTGACTAACAGTCAGCTTCGACACGTACGGCTTCACTGTTCGCTATTTCTCCGATTCTGCGAACAATATCGATTCCCGAGCCGACTGGTGACACATAAAATGTTTGATGCATTGGAAGCCTAACTGCAGAGCTACTTCACCTTATTTCATGGGGCGGTCGCATACACACGAGCCACCCTGACCTCACGCAAACTATCCCCGGTCATGTTCCCACGCATGCATAACAGCAGCCGGTACCACACTCTCCGTCATGATTTGACAATGTCAGCACACACCCTGACTTCGTCAGAGTCCACTTCCGACGGGGGCTGCAGCTGAGGGGTCTGCGCACAGAGGTCCCTCGCTCTTGTATCTCCTATCTCCCCCCGGGCAACCGGGAATTCATTTGGAGTTGCGGTAGTTAGGGGGTCATGCCCAATATTTTAACCACAGCGAACGCACCGAAGTTCTCCTGATCCGATTAGTGTTTGTTACAACATGTGGGAAACGTCGTTTATGACAGGTCTTGCATAGCCTCACAAGATTTCTGGTTTTAGTCACCTCGCCTTCCTGGTCCCCTTTATTACTGTCGCGGAATTGACTCAGAAGTTGCAACTGCACCAGATATGGTAAGAGGTCTCAAATAGCTTCTCCTGTAATAGCGGGTGTCTCAAACCCATCGTTCGAGATGGAAGGTTATCGTTCCTGTGAGTATGCCTCCTTCGGTAACTGGGATACGATGACTGGCAAAGTTGACGCCTGCAATATCCCTCTCCCACCGTCTATGACGAAATCCCTGAAAGCACACAGACGAAACTCGTTGTCCGACTGAATATCAGTCCGTCTGTCATTCTCAGTCTTTATTCCCAGGCCACTGCCCAGTACCTCGAACCCTAATGGAATTCCCTTATTCATAATTATTCCTTTGGTGGCCATTCCTCATTATCCGGCCGACGTCCTTGCGAGCTGTTGAGATTTCTGGAAGCGACTTTTCAGCGTCTCCCTCGGCCGTATCCGACGAATAAGCTGAAGAGCCCTCACCGTCGCAACTGCCTTCATTCCTTCCTTTCATGAGGGTTGGATTCCCGGATTTCCCGGGCAATGATGTTTAGTCACTTTCACGGCACGCCGTCTAATTATAACGGATCCCTTTGCAATTGAAAAAAACTTTCTCCACTAGGATGTCAACGAGTATCCTTCAGACACCCATTATGCTTGTAGGACGATCTCTTTCACGGTTTATCCTGATGCACTTCTGAAGGAGACTGATTACTGGGAATGGGGAAGAGGATATGTTCGCGAGTCAGATGGTCGCAGACGTATTGTGTGACTAGGGCCAGAGAATCTTGGAAGTTGACGGCACTGATCTTCTGGCCGACCTGTTTCCTCGACTTCGAGAGGAAACATCGAGGAAAGTTGCGGCCGCGAGCTCTGTCACTAAATGTAGCATAATACCAGCAAGTATTAGCCGTGCTTATTCGATAGGAATAAGTGAGCCAGTGAGCCAGTTTGCCGAGCAATCGTCACACCAGCATCGAGCACGGATGACGAAATCGCGGCAATTAACAACTCGGACTCGGACCGCCAAGCCACCGCCGCATC